TCCGATTGAGTTGCAGTTGGGGAAGTTCTGATTTTTTCTCCCGATTTTTCTTCTTTGACATCGTTTCGCGATTTCTTTCATACTCAGAACCCTTTCGACAACATTTCATGTTAAGATGTCTAGCTTTAATAGCCTTCACTTTTTCATTTTGCCTTATATTTTTTATGCATAAACGTAGGCACTTATAGTAATGGGGTGGCGAGAATAAAATGTACCTCTCATCGATTCCTCTTCTGCTTTGCCCGTCCGATTTTCGTTTATCTAGTGATTTGCCTTTCGGATTTATTTCGAGATTTTTCAGCCCCTATTAAATGGAAGAATCGTTAGCCGATCAGTTGGACTACGATTCCAACTTCACTGATTGCACTTATTTGGTGAGTACCCTTAGAAGAATTTCATTTTCTATTCGTACGCCTTCCTTTTTCTTGGTTTTTTACTTCGCACCGCAATTACTGGCCTTATCTGATTACTTGTACATACTCAGTAAAAATCTGACCCAATACAGGTGGTACAGTAGCCTATATAAACCATTCACTCAAGAAGCGGCCATTAAAAGTAGACAGATGGTCATGTGGAGTGCGCCATATACCCGACTTTTGCTCATAATTGCTGATCCACTTGGCAGCTGAGCGCAGGCTGGTTGACATGAGTGGAGATTAATCAGAGGTCTAATACAGGGGTAAAGTAGCAACGCCACCTACTAATAACCCAGCTTTAGCTCTTGAGTAAAGGGTTAGTTGGACCTTTTTTAAAGGAGCTCCCGAGAATTCGGAGGCAAACGGGGTATCAGCAGAAGGAGGGGTACACAGTTCTCGGGACGGGGCACAATTGCGGGTTCCAATTCTGTCTGAGGCTGAATTTTTGCTCACAAATCGCCAACCGACCCGAATTTTTCATGAGACTATGAGACTTGAACATTTTTCTTATCAGTCATAACCACAAATTACATTACCCCATGAAAATAAATTGTAATCGGCTATAGAATCAAATCATTACTGTATTTGGAAGAAGTATGATTGGTTTCATCTATTTTTTTTTTACTGGAGATACTGCCCCTAATGCTTTGAAAAAGTCGATTTTGCAGGGAACCGAGCATGTGGAGGTGAAAATCTATCTGATCGGTGTATTTGCGACGTTCATCGCTGTACTTTCCATCATCTTCAACACATTCTTCACGCTCGTATTCTTAACAAATCAATCAATAAGGTCTCGATCATTCCAGAAGTTATGGGAAACCTCTGATATCGATTGATTCCAGAAAGTCGTCGGTGTTCTATTTTGGGATTTTGGCAGTTATAGATACAATAATGGCAGTAAACTACATTGCAGTGATGTCGATACCGGTTTGTACCTTTTCCTTTGAGCTTATCGGTTTTTTTTTGTTGCTTTCCTAGGAAAATTTCTCAGCTCAAAAAGGTGACATACATCTATCGATCACCTCTCGGATGCGCCATGTACTCCACATCAAGTTGTACTCATGTAGCTACTACTTATCCCATGTGGGCAGTGGTGAAGTGCACCCAAGGGATGTCCATACCGCTGGCCGCTGATTTTATGTCTCTAACTCTCTGAACCTGTGGGTGCTCAGAGGAACAGAAAACCTGGGTGAATTGAGCTAGTTAGAAAGTGAGGAAGGGTGCCTTTTTCCGATTGAGTTATTTCTGACCACATTCCTGGTAATACTGAGGATATTCAGAGTACAACAAGGATTCGTGGTAAACCGAATTTATTCCAAGTAAAGGTCATGTGTAAAGAAGGTTTTCTCTATGAAATGGCATGCTGAGACTTGATATATTTGTTAATTTATTTACTTGTTTATTTACATATATGCACACATATTATATTACAACAAGGTTTTGATTACTTGCTAATGAACTGCGCCGGAAGTTCTTTCACGTAATTCCAACCAAATAGCCCTTTTTGCAAAATATTCCACTACGAAATATAAGAGGGGATAAACTCTAACTTATCAGTTGGATAACTTCAGCAACCCTCCCCGTACAGGAGCATTGGCGTGTACTTTGGAGCTGAATTGGTTACTCATACAAAATAGGCTAATCTTGGGCCTAGCTCTGGTTCGACCAACAGACCTTAATTTCTGCTTGAATGCAGGATCGACTCTAAGCCGTTACTTCTCAACCATGCATATGGTGGACTCCCATACCACTATTCATTATTACAATTTGTCTGTAACTTTCCCATGTGTGTCATTAGGTCCC